AGAACTGTCAGAAATAGAGGAACTCTGCACATACACTTTTTGCGGCTTGGAATTATTTTATTTTCATCCTACTTCTTCTTCATTCTTCTTCTTTCTCTTCTCACTCATCATCCTCTTCTTCTGAGGATGAGGATGAAGAAGAAGTAAGAAGAAGAAGAAGTAGGATGAAAATAAGAATAATTCCAAGCGGCAAAAAGTGTATGTGCAGAGTTCCTCTATTTCTACAGTTCTTCTGAGAGCTTCTTCACATGTACAGCTTTAACATCTGTATCCTAAATGGAAACTAATAGATACAATGTTTCAACGATTAAACCGTGTGTTGCCTTCTGTCAGAGAAGAGGACTGTCAGAAATAGCGGAGCTCATTCTGCCGGGACAATTAAATCTTATTTTCTTTCCTACTTCTTCTTCTTCTTCATCCTCATCCTCAGAAGAAGAAGAAGAGGATGAGGATGAAGAAGAAGAAGAAGAAGAAGAAGTAGGATGAAAATAAGAATAATTCCAAGCCGGCAAAAAGTGTATGTGCAGAGTTCCTCTATTCTGCAGATACACTTAGAGGAGCTCTGCAGATACACTTAGAGGAGCTCTGCACATACACTTTTTGCCGGCTTGGAATTAATCTTATTTTCATCCTACTTCTTCTCTTCTTCTTCTTCCTCATCCTCAGAAGAAGAAGAAGAGGGATGAGGATGAGAGAAGAAGAAGTAGGATGAAAATAAGAATAATTCCAAGCCGGCGAAGAGAGATGAGGATGAAGATAGAAGAAGTAGGATGAAAATAAGAATAATTCCAAGCGGGCAAAAAAGTGTATGTGCAGAGCTCCTCTAATCTGCAGATGCACTTATAGGTAGCTCTGCAGACATTAGAGGAGCTCTGCACATACACTTTTTGCCGGCTTGGAATTATTCTTATTTTCATCCTACTTCTTCTTCTTTCTTCTTCATCCTCATCCTCAGAAAGAAGAAGAGGATGAGGATGAGGATGAAGAAGAAGAAGAAGAAGAGAAGTAGGATGAAAATAAGGAATAATTCCAAGCCGGCAAAAAGTGTAATGTGCAGAGCTCCTCTAGTGTATGTGTGCCAGAGCTCCTCTAAGTGTATCTGCAGAATAGAGGAACTCTGCACATACACTTTTTGCCGGAAACCGCTGTATGGAGGGAATGTCCCAGAACTGTCAGAAATATAGGACTATTTTCTGACAGTTCTGGGACATTCCTTCCATACAGCGGTTGAAACATTGTATCTATTTGAAATGGATCCATTTATGGAAACAAATAGATACAATGTTTCAACCGCTGTATGGAGTGAGTGTTCCCAGAAAAGCTCGTTAGAAATAGTGTCTATTTCTCAGACAGTTCTATGACATTCCCTCCATACAGCGGTTGAAACCGCTTCTTCTCCTATGGAGTGAATGTCCAGAACTGTCTCAGAATATAGGACTATTTCTGACAGTTCTGGAGGACATTCACTCCATACAGCGGTTGAATCATTGTTTCTATTTCTTTTCCATAAATGAACATTCTGCAAATACACTTAGAGGAGCGACTGCAAGATACCTTTTTTGCCAGCTTGGAATTAATTCTTATTTTTATCCTATTTCTTCTCTTCTTCTTTCTTCATCCTTATCAGAAGAAGAAGAGGATGAGGATGAAGAAGAAGGAAGACAGAAGAAGTCGGATGAAAATAAGAATAATTCCAAGCGGCAAAAAACGTGTATCTCAGCGTCACTCTAAGTGTATCTGCAGAATGTCATTTATGGAAAAAAAATAGATACAATGTTTCAACCGCTGTATGGAGTTGAATGTTTGCATAAACTTCAGAAAATAGATATTTATGACAGTTCTGGGACATTCACTCCATACAGCGGTTGAAACTGCTGTATGGAGGGAATGTCCATTTGAAACTGTCAGAAATAGACTATTTCTGACAGTTTCTGGGACACTCGTTCACTCCATACAGCGGTTGAAACATTGTATCTATTTGTTTCATAAATGGATCCACTTTAGTGGAAACAAATAGTACCAATGTTTCAAGTCTGTATGGAGTGAGTGTCCCAGAACTAGTTTAGAAATAGTCTATTTTTCTGACAGTTCTATGACATTCCCTCCATACAGCGGTTTCAACCGCTGTATGGAGTGAAACTGGTCCCAGAACTGTCAGAAATAGACAGATTAACTGTCACAGGAACTGTCCTTCTCATCTTCTCCTTCTTCTTCATCCTTATTTCTCATCCTTTCTTCTCATCCTTCTCCTTCTCCTTCTTCTCATCATTCTCCTTCTTCTCATTCTTCTCCTTACCAAATTCTCATTCCTTCTTCTTCTCATCTTCTCCATCTTCTCTATCCTTCTCCTTCTTCTCTCCTTCTCCTTCTTCTCATCCTTTCTCCTTCTTCTCATCCTTCTCCTTCTTTCATCCTTCTCCTTTTCTCATCCTTCTCCTTCTTCTCATCCTTCTCCTTCTCATCCTTCCCTTCTCTTCTTCTCCAATTCCCTTCTCCTTCTCACTTTCTCTAGATCTCCTTCTCCATCGTCTCATCCTTTCCTTCTCCTTCCTTCTCATCCTTCTCCATTCATTCTCATCCTTCTCCTTCTTCTCATCCTTCCTTCTTTCATCCTTCTCATTCTTCTCATCCTTTCCTTCTTCTCAATCCTTCTCCTTCTCCTTCCTCATCTCATGGGCATTTTAAATTAAAGGTACAGTGTTCTGCACTAATTTAAAGGCTTCTCTGACGCCTAGAAAACCCTTTTAATAAGTTAACTTCGTAGCGAATTAATTCGCATAGATTTTCATACTGGAATTCGCCGAATCAGCCGAATCGAATTTTGAGAAATTCGCTCATCTCTAGTTACTATAAATGCTGCAGCGCACAGTTGTTATTCGTGCCTTGAGGTGCATCGAAAACCACTCAGAATGAATTAGCTACCTTAAAACAACACACCTTAATGCATGAAAAAGTATGTATTAATTCATTGAAATGCATAAAGGGGGCCCCAAATGTTTTTTGCACATTTCACTGTGTAGGCAACTTAAATTATATTGTTAGAATTTTCTGAAAGGAGAAATAGAAGTGTTAGTTCTAGCACTTAATTAATCACAGCCTTTCAGTTTCTAACTGGTAGAAATGACAACTGTCATATATTTGACGAAAAATACAGTTATGCTTTATATTGTCTTTCATTTATGTAAAATACGTAGACCTCTTTTACACTGCAGTGTACCTGTGGGTTAGCTATGCTTTCCCATCAACTTCTTTTATGTCCTGCTGTTTTAATCTACTTTCTCAAAGTGCCCCAAAGGTCCTGCATGCATTTCTCTTGCGCACCAAAACCATGGGACATAATAGAAGTCAATGGAAAGCGCAGCTACACTGCACTACACCAGCAGTGAAGTCAAACTGCACCGCATCAGTGTGAAATGGGCCTTAGGGCCGTTCACACCACAATTTCTGATTTCCAAATGCATTTCTGCATGCACATTTATTGATCTGTTACAGTGCATGTTTTGTCATGGATTTTCCCTCTTTTTTTACTCGTCTCAATTTTGGACATGTGGATTCTGGTGCATTATTTATGCATTTTGCCAAGTTCTAGATGTGTTCCATACAAAAAAAATACAGCATATTCCACTTTTGTTGGCTAAACTGGAATGCATTGCACTGGTGTGAATTAGGGGCATTGGGATCCCTGCACTGCGCATGCTTTTTTGATGCAGATTAAAATTGGACTTAACTACATCTGGTGTGAACCATCCCTTAAAGTATTTCTATATAAACAATAAATACTACAAACTTCAAAAAAGTAAGGTTCAAAACTGTCTTTATTTACCTGTCTTTCCCATAATTTTCTTTAAAATGGTTAAAAATTGCTGACAAATGTAAAGGGTTTGGACATCTCTTTGGATCCTCATTGTTCTCTATGTCTTTGTAACATCTTTTTCTGTAAATATTTTACTTGCACCATTTTGACCTTTTTAGTAATAAACCCTATTTTGAAAAGTGTTGAAACTGTCTCTAAAGCTTTTAATGCAAACTAAAGAATCCCTGTCTCTTGAAGAGCGCTACTGTATATAATAATCCTCTGAATGTCCTTGTCTGTGGTAACAGTGTGTGTTGCAGATGCTAAGGTAATATCATTGTGCTATTGCTAGGGTTTGTGAGTTTCTTGCTTCTCTGTAAAAAGGTGGTGGTGGCAGTGTTCAGGGTTAATTGCGCAATTAACCTGACCCAGTAACAATCGCTCTCAGGCTGCTGGCACATAGATTGTAGTCCCACGAGCTGGAAAATCTTTGTGCAGGGTGCAGCTGAGAGTGGCATTGTTACTGTCAGGGCTCCCGGGTATGACCAGAGGTGTGTGACTGACGCAGGGAAACGCAGGCTTCAGATATGTTATAAACAATATAATTTATTAACACTAACAATACAAACATAAACGCAGTGCAATACTAAAACGTAACACAGTGCAAACAAACCAAACCAACCACCCACAGATTACAGTACATACAATGCAAGCGTCGTCAGGCAGGCTGGGTCAATATCAATCGGGCAGGTAGGTACAGGGGGAGCAAGCGGAGAATGGTCGGGGTCACAAGCCAGGTTCAGTAGGTAGCGGGCAGCGTGGTACAGAGGGTCAGGCAGAGGAGAATGGTCAGACAAGCCAGGGATCAGGAGCAGGAGAATGGTCAGACAAAGCCAGGGATCAGAGCAGGGTCAGCAACGAATCAGACAGGAACAGGAACAGGAACAGGGAGCAGGAACAGGATACAGGGCCCAGGAGAAACACACACCAAGGCAGAGTCTGCAGGTCTGGCCATCCCTTAAATACACCAGTATAATCAGTTCCAGGTGTTTGACTGGCTGCAAGGTTGAGTCTCTGATTGCTGGGAGCACCCGCTGGCCAGCCCTGGTACTGCAGCTCATAAGGCAGGTGAGTCCCACCATTGCTGGCCAGTCCATTCCTGACAGTACCCCCCTCAAGGAGCGGCCTCAGGACGCTCCAAACAGTCCTAGCTGGGCAAAATGTTCCACCGCCCGGGTCTGGTAACTGGCGGGATATCAAAGACTGGCACACCGGGCAGGACCCCGGGCAGCGGCACACCGGGCAGGGGCACTCCGGGCAGGCGGCACACACGGGCAGGACTCCGGGCAGGGGCACACCGGGCAGAGGCACACCGGGGCACACTCCGGGCAGAGGCACACCGGGCAGAGGCACACCGGGCAGAGGCACACCTCCGGGCAGAGGCACATCGGGCAGAGGCACACTGGACTCCGGGCAGAGGCACATCGGGCTGGACTCCGGGCAGAGGCACACCGGGCACATCGGGCTGGACTCCGGGCAGAGGCACATCGGGCTGGACTCCGGGCAGAGGCACATCGGGCTGGACTCCGGGCAGAGGCACACCGGGCTGGACTCCGGGCAGAGGCACATCGGGCTGGCTGGACTCCGGGCAGAGGCACATCGGGCTGGACTCCGGGCAGAGGCACATCGGGCTGGACTCCGGGCAGAGGAGAATGGTCAGACAAGCCAGGGATCAGGAGCAGGAGAATGGTCAGACAAAGCCAGGGATCAGAGCAGGGTCAGCAACGAATCAGACAGGAACAGGAACAGGAACAGGGAGCAGGAACAGGATACAGGGCCCAGGAGAAACACACACCAAGGCAGAGTCTGCAGGTCTGGCCATCCCTTAAATACACCAGTATAATCAGTTCCAGGTGTTTGACTGGCTGCAAGGTTGAGTCTCTGATTGCTGGGAGCACCCGCTGGCCAGCCCTGGTATTGCAGCTCATAAGGCAGGTGAGTCCCACCATTGCTGGCCAGTCCATTCCTGACAGTTACGCAAGTGACAGCGCGGTGTGAGATTGGCTGGTCCTTTGTCACGAGTTGGTGAGAAGGGCAGGGATCGGGCACCACGTTCCGTCACAGTAATAACTGTGAGGAAAGAGCTGATGGAAGAATTAAAAGCTCAGTGTTATGTGGAGGCGATATAGGTTTCCCTGGAGAGATGCGTTTTCAGGGATCGCCTAAAGGTGGACAGAGTAAAAGATAGTCAGAGTGGAGGGAAGCCGGAAGTGCTGCGGTAGGGGGCACACGGGGAACCCGGGCAGAGGGGGGAATCAAATGGCGAAAAGGAGGGGTAATCAGTGCAGCGGGGGACAATTACAAGAACTGATGCCATAAATAGCTCTCTATGTAGCAGCTAAAAGCTGCAGGAGGGAGAGGAGGAGAAGTGGCTTTCAGGGCATTGGTTCTTTTAATTGCCCCCTGCTGTACCGATTACCTCCTCCTGTCTACAGATTCCCCCTCCTGCGGGTGGCTGCTTGGGCCCCCTGGAGCATGGGCCAGGTCACAATTGCGACCCCTGATGCTACACCATTAGCAGGAAGTCTTGGGAGAAGTGGAGAGGACGGTTTGGGTGACAAATTGAGCCAAGTTTGGTGATGTAGCTTGGGGCAGAATTGTAAATGGATTTGTACTGTATGTGTTGAGGGGTGGTGGACACTGAGCAGTTAGTAAGGTAGATGAGTTGGGCACCAGTGTTCATCATAGACTGAATTGGAGGCAGCTTAAGTGGAGATAGGCCTAAGAGAAAAGAGCTGCAATAGTCAAGGTATGAGATAACAACAGAGTAAATTAATAGCTTGGCAATTTCATTGGTTAAAAAGGGAAATATTTTGGAGATGTTACAGAGGTGACATCTAAAAGATTTGTACCAGTGCTTCTCAATCTTTTTTCAGTTAAGCTGCACAATCTCAAGGCACTCATTATAAAATGTAAAAAAAATACAACTAATATTTTTAGAGAAAGCAGCAACATATGCACACGTGGGACACCCAGTGTAAGAGGTGATTTATTCTTCCAAAGCAAATATACCTTTGCACACTGGTACTGATTAGTATTTCATTGGTTCTCTTCTCCCCCAGTTTCTCTGTCTCACTCAGCTAATGTGACCCCAGTGCTAACGAAGAAGGGCAGGGGAGGGGCAAACAAGCATGCTGTGCAGGAGCCCGATGTCCTTCTCATCAACTGAGGGCATCATTGTATTTTTATGTTGGCGATGGCTAGAAAGTTGTAATGGTGCACAATGAAAATCTGTGGCGTTGTGTAACTAAAACGCAGGCTTGATCCACTTTCTGGCTTGTATACAGTTTTTGGGCAATTTCTAGGCATTTTGCCAAGACACTCCTGAAGAAACCTGAAGGCACCCTGATTGAAAAAGGATGATTTGGACAGTTATTGGATTTGAGGCTGAAATGACAGGTCATAGTTCAGCAGTACACTTAGCACCCTGGTGAGAGTGGAGGAAATGATAGTTGTATTTTTGATCTTGATGGAAAAGACCGAGAGGAGGGCACAGGTGGGGGGTAATATTATGAGCTCAGTTTGAGGAAGTAATGTAACATCCATACTGATATGTGAGTTAGTAATTTAGTAGTGTGAGAGGAGGCTGAGGGGTGAGTTGAGGAGTAGAGAGAGATGAATGTCATCAGCATTGAGATGGTATTGGAAGCCATTGGAGGTTCTCAAGTGATCAAGGAAGGAAGTGTAGGTAGAGGAGTGAAGGGCTGCAAGGACAGAGTCTTGAGGAAACACTACAGAAGTAAGAAAGGGAGAGGAGGAGACAAAGTTGTAGGCAACACTGATGCAACGCTGTGGTAGGTAGGAAGAGAACCAGGAAAGAGTCTTGGAGACCAAGGGAGTAAATTTTTTTTGAGGAGGAGCAGTTTCAAAGGCAGCAGAAAAGCCTAGTAGTATGATAATGGAGTAATGGGAGGAGCAGTGCCAGTAGAGAGGGAGAGAGTGAAGATGTGAGTGAGAGAACATAAAATAAAGCAGAGAGTGACTGTAGTAGTTGCGAGGGAACAGCGTGCTGGGGACAGGTGGTTAGGCGAATATCTGAGAAGAGTTTGGTAACCTCTTCTGTAGTAACGGGTTGAAAAGAGGAAAGTTATAAAATTAAATACTTAATATATTGATAAAGTGTGCAACTGACTGAAAATTAAGTATACATGTTTAGACTTTATATTGTACGGTCTGTGAAAGGTCTTTGTGATATACAATTTGCAGTATCTTATTCAAACTTCTAAGACCAGATTTCATCAAAGCACAGTCTTAAAATCATAGGCTTTACCTGTCAATGAGGTCAGTGATGACTGCCAAGTAATCCCAGTGCAGCATAAGGCATTTGTCTTTGAAGAAAGATAACCAAAGTATGAGAAGAGAGGTTAAAATTAATTTCAGCTGATATTTTGACACAGCTTTACTCTCTTTTAAGAATGTGACAAAAGGACATTGTCACCTATAAGAGTAAATGCTTTTTGTCTTGCCTGCCTTACCTGTTAGGGAGAAAAAGTTAATTTTTTTATTAATAATAAACATAGTTCATATATAAATGTTTTTTTATTTGCCTTTGCTTTGGTATATCTAATAATACACTGTTCAAAAAATTAAAGGAACACTTTAAAAACACATCAGATCTCAATGTGGAATGGATTGATATGGACTGTGTAATGTGTTAAGAACGTGAGGATGCCCCATAGTTTGATAGAAATGAAAACCTACAGAGGGCTTCAAAGACACCCCAAAAATCAAAGTGAAAAAATAATGCAGCGAGCTAGTCCATTTTGCTGAAATTTCATTGCGGCAACTCAAAATGGTACTCAGTAGTTTTGCATGGCCCCCACATGCTTGTGTGCATGCCTGACAACATCGGGGCATGCTCCTAATGAGACGACAGATGGTGTCTTGGGGTATTTCCTCACAGATCTGGACCAGGGCATCACTGAGCTCCTGGACAGTTTGAAGTGCAACCTGGCATCATCGGATGGACCGAAACATGATATCCCAGAGGTGTTCTATTGGATTTAGGTCAGGCGAGTGTGGGGGCCATTCAATGGTATCAATTCCTTCATCCTCCAGGAATTGCCTGCATACTCTCGCCACATGAGGCCAGATGTTGTCATGCGCCAGAAGGAACCAAGGATGCACTGCACCAGCGTAGGATCTGACAATGGGTCCAAGGATTTCATTCCGATACCTAATGGCACTCAGGGTGCCATTGTCTAGCCTGTAGAGAAATATAAATAAACAGCGCAAACATAGACCTCTATATCAAATCAATATATAAAGTGCAAACATATATAGAAAATTATATTAGTAGTGAAAGTCCATCATGATAATAGACAACAAAAGTTCAGAAAATTTGTGCAAAAAAATCAAAAATTCTTCTAATGAAAAGAAAAACTTCCACCTTCCACCCGTGCAAACCAACATCAAATGCACTCACCAGATATAGGTGAATGAAACGCCTTTTAGGAATTTTTATGGGATCCTAAACCCTCTTTCGTGTCCACTCTATAGGAATCCTCACCTTCAGTATAGGCTCCACCATACAACCGGGGAGAGAAAATCTCAGATAGTGTGATATTGCAAACTACCGTTTTTAAATAAAATCAAGGATTAAGGCCACTCACATTTAAATCACTTTAAAAAGGCATATTTATTAGGACAAGCTTCTTCCAGATGGACAATGAATGTCAGACAACCTCCTCAGGAATTCACATCACAGCTCCAGGATACAGCAGAAGCTCCACAGAGACCAAACATGCACAGATCCCAAAAGATGGCCGCTGGAACGCACCGCTCAGCGTGCGCTCCACTCACCGGAAGTGACGTCAGACGTACGGGGTAAAGACCGGAAATGCATCAACGCGTTTCGCCCCTCCCATCGGGCGTTCTCAAGACCTTAGGTCTGTAGAGGTCTGTGCGTCCCTCCATGGATATGCCTCCCAAGACCATTACTGACCCACCACCAAAACGGTCATGCAGAACGATGTTACAGGCAGCATAATGTTCTCCACAGCTTCTCCAGACCCTTTCACATCTGTCACGTGTGCTCAGGGTGAATCTGCTCTTATCTGTGAAAAGCACAGGGTGCCAGTGGCGGGCCTACCAATTCTGGTGTTTAATGGCAAATGGCAATCGAGCTCTATGGTGTTGTATAGTGAATGGAGCGCCCAATAGAGGATGTCGGGTCCTCAGGCCACCCTCATAAAGTCTGTTTCTGATTGTTTGGTCAGAGACATTCACACCAGTGGCCTGCTGGAGGTCATTTTGTAGGGCTATGGCAGTGCTCATCCTGTTCCTCCATAAGGGTTGCTTATGGGTTAAGGACCTTCTACGACCCTGACCAGCTCTCCTAGAATAACTGCCTGTCTCCTGGAATCTCCTCCATGCTCTTGAGACTATGCAGGGAGACACAGCAAACCTTCTGGCAATGACACGTATTGATGTGCCATCCTGGAGGAGTTGGACTGCCTGTGCAACCTCTGTACAGTCCAGGTATCACCTCATGCTACCAGTAGTGACACTGACCCTAGCAAAATGCAAAGATTGTGAAAAACAGTCAGAAAAGATGAGCAGGGAAAAAAATGTCAGTGGCCTCCACGTGTAAAACCATTCCTGTTTTGGGGGTCACCTCATTGTTGTCCATCTAGTGCACCTGTTGTTAATTTCATTAACACCAAAGCAACTGAAACTGATTAACAAATCCCTCTGCTACTTAACTGACCAGATAAATATTCCAGGACTTTAATTGACTTGATGTTATACTCTGATTAAAAAGTGTTCCTTTAATTTTTTGAGCAGTGTATAAATGGAAAACAATGTGACACTAATATGCCTTGGATCAGCTGCTGCAATCACTAATTTGTGGTCGTTAAACACAAATCAAAAAATACAAATAAATATAATGTGTTGAGCTGCTACTGATAAGTGAAAATTAATCACCATCCCTAAACTCCCATAAAGTGCAAAAAAATAAGATTTATAACACAATCTATCATGTGTCCCACTCAATCCACATGCGTAAGTCCTCCAGTATCCAACAGAATACAATGTGCGATCCTCCTGCTGGAAACTGTGCCCTCTTCCCCAGTGCTGTAAAATCCACTCTCTGTGCACCACCACAAATACTGTAGTGTGTCTGCAATGAATCCTCAGCATCCCATATGGACCTATTTAATTACAAACAGGTTAGGAGCACTTTCTCCCCACCAATGGGAGATCTGTATAGATGACTCCATTGGTCACTAGTCTCTCTCCACCACTGCACACAGGTAATGGTAAACTCCCACTCAGGGGCGGACTGACCATTTGGAAACTCGGGCACTGCCCGAGGGCCCGGGGTCAGTAGGGGGCCCCATGAGATGCCCCTGGTACCTTTTTCATAGGCTTTTGTGAGTTTGAGCAAGGGCACAGGGGCCCCATGATCCGGTATTGCCCAGGGGCCCCATGAGTTGTCAGTCCACCCCTGCTCCCACTGCTGTCAATCTGTTAGCTAAAGCTCACAAGGAAGCCACCATAGTGTAGTACATAAAATTCCCAATGATTTTTTATTAAAATGATACCGACATAGATAAGTTGGTAGTAAGCCGTTAAGAAGCACAGGGATTCTCAAAACATCGAGCAATCCGTGATGTCTCTGACACGTCGGTTCTCCTGTCACCTAAGTTCCTCTCCATAGTGATTATCTTTCACTTATAAGTAGCAGTGCAACACATTTTTTTCATTTCTAAGAATTCTTTAGCCTGGGTTAACACTTGAGTGGTGTGGCATATCACATGTGATCCGCACAGGAACCGCACCGCCTTCCTGTGCAAATCACATGCGTATTTTATGCAGTGCAATTTGAGCCATGCATTTTGGATGGCTCAAAGTGCAACGCATCCACACCAAAAAGGTACAGGACCCTTTTTTTGGTCCGCACTAGAATCGGATTGAGTGGGTATTCACATCCATGCGATCCGATTCTGCACATCGCACCACTTTTTCTGGACCGATTTCGGAGTGTTGTTAACTTAATGCACACACCTGCAGCGGTTCACATGAACGAGGTGCGATTATGATGTGGTGCAGAATTTGCACAGAAACCGTTGCAAATTCCGCACCACATCAGTGTGAACCCGGGCTTAATGCAGAAGAGAATTAGCTCCACTTAAAGGATGTTTCATGCCTGGACAAGCAGCATCCTTGGGGGCCTGCTGGGAGGATTTCTAAATATGTGTGTTACTTGTTGCCACATGGTCTTTCTTCCTGGGCTTTTGCCCCGAGAGGATGCATTTGTAACATCAGTCATGTCCTTGGGCCTTAGAGCCTAGGGATGTGGGAAGCTACAAGGATCTCCCCTCTTCAGAGACCACCTTGAAGATACTGGCTGCTATGTACTGCTAGTTTTGGGCTTAGGGCTGATTCATACTAGTGCATTGATCTGGGTTTAACACACTTGTAACATGTAGGTCAGGGCATGAACACATTAAAAATAATTGTTTTTTATGTGTCCTCTTCAGGCTACAAGACTGCCTTGACCTGTGTTGCATTGTGTTAAAATGCAAACTGATCAGTATACCGGCCTGCTGCTAATACCATGTGATTGCTGTGACCAATCACAGCAGATCACATGACAATTGTAAATACTGAATGATTTCGATTCATGCCATTCATTGTTACAATTGTGTTGTTAACTGATTGATCACAGTGATCAAATGGTACAGACAAGGCCAATCAAATTGATTCAATTCAGTAAAATGCTTGCTTATAGCAATGAAATTTACTGCTATAAGCAATCGCAATGTATAAATATAATGGTAACATCATATTACTCTGGTCACGAAAAAATTTAATAGAAAAGAAAAAAATATATTTTTTTTTCGTACTGTCACCAGTGTCCTTAATTACCACCACACCAGTTATATGATAATGCTGTACTGCAATGGTGACAGTATGCTAAAAAAAAAATTGTGAATTTTTCATTTCTTCATTTTCCAAAAAATTATGAAAACAAATTACAACTTCAAAAAACTTGCCATGCCTCTTATTAAATACTTCGGACTGCTTTCCAAAAAGGGGTCATTTGGGGATATCTGTACTGTCCTGACATTTTTTGGGCCTCAAGAAATTAGATTGGCTATCAGTACATCAGGATTGATCGATTTTCAGATATCTCCCATAGTTTGTGAACTCTATAACTTTCCTACAGTCTAAATAATAAACACGGATTTGGGTTATTTTCACCAAAGAAATGTAGCAGAATACATTTTGGTTTAAATTTATAAAGAACAATTATTTATTAGCAAAATTTCATAACAGTAACGAAGAAAAATACCTTTTTTTTTTCAAAACGTATGTTTTTTTTGTTTCTTTAGCAAAAAATAAAATAAACAGTGGTGATTAAATACCACCAAAAGAAAGCTCTGGTTATGTGGAAAAAAGTATAAAAATGTCATATGGGTACAGTGTTGCATGATTGCGCAATTGTCATTCAAAGTGCGACAGCGCTGAAAGCTGAAAATTGGCCTGAGCAGGAAGGAGCTAAAAGTGCCCCATCGAGGTGTGTTTTCTTTCAACCTATGCAACTATATCAGTGGTCTCCAAACTGCGGCCCAGGGGCCAGATGCAGCCCTTTGCTTGCCTTTATCTGGCACTTGAGGCACTATTTCATCCACCAACAATGGGGCACAGTTCCTCCCAATGACACCAATAATGGGGCCCAATGGTTCTTATGATGGGGCACAATTACTATCAATGAGGCCAATGATGGGGCACAATTCCTCCCAATTACACCAATGATAGAACACTATTCTCCTAGATTGTAAGCTCGAAAGAGCAGGGCCCTTGATCCCCTCATGTTTTGCATTGTATTGGTATTGTTCTGTCACATGTTCTGTCCCCCTTTGTAATGTACAGCGCTGAGCGAACTATTGGCGCTTTATAAATACTGTATAATAATAATAATATAATATTCCTACCGATGATGGGGCACTATTCCTCCCAATGACACCAATGATGGGGTACTATTCCTCCCAATAACACCAACGATGGGGCACAGTTTCTCCCAATCACACCAGTGATGGGACAATATACCTACCAATGAGACTAATGATGGGGCACTATTCCTACCAATGACACCAATGATGGGGCACTATTCCTACTAATGATGCCAACAGCTGGGCCCAATAACACCAATAATGGGGCAAAATTCCTCCCATTGACACCAAGGATGGGGCATTGTTTACTCCAGCTGATGCTGGGACATTTTCTATTCCCGATGGCCACATTGCGGCCCCTCTAAAGTCTGAAGGACAGTAAACTTGCCCTTTATTTAAAAAGTTTGAAGACCCCTGAACTATATCATAGCTAAGCAGGTCTAACAGAAAAAAAATATTATCCTATGATGCATTGGGTGTTTCCTTATCAAGTACATGGCTGTAGAATGTGGGCACAGACACCACATTTGTCAGAAATGCACATTAGCTCATTTCCATGGATAGAAGTATGTTACTTAATTATATCTACTGATTTTTACAGCTCCTTTTTTGTAAAAAATATTCTATTTAAATTGAAGTAGAGTTAAAATGGAGTTCTGTAAAGTTCAAAGAAGTTTAGTTTTAATGGAAAGAAGTAAACATGCATATCAGGAATATAGGTGGTCCTATGCAATGAGAATTCTATGCTGTAACAGCAGGCAATAACACTTTCTAGCAGAGCGGCTGATCTGATCACAGTGGGTGTCCAGCAGTAACTAAGCATACTGTTATGCTGCTGCTCCAGAAAGAAAAAAACATTCAACAAACAGAAAAGGGAAGACAAGTAAACAACAAAAAATAGGTTTAACATTAGTAACTCACAAGTATACTCACTGTTCTATACGGGTCTAAATAAAAACTAAAAATGGGCGTAATATTTATACAGAAGAACTAAACAAACTTTAGTGTACAGAACAATGAAAAGATAGGTAGGACAATGGATGTTGACAAGATAGTTCTAGTTGTTGAAATTGAAATGCCATGCTAATTAGCTAATGTGCAGTTCTGACAACATGAAAAATGTGGTGTCTGTACCCTCAATTCCACAGCCTGTACTTGATAAGGAAACCCCCAATGCATCATAGGATAATATTTTTTTTGGTTAGACCTGCTTATCTATGATGTAGTTACATAGGTTGAAAAAGATACACCTTGATTAATGGATAAGTATAACCAAAGCTTTTTTTTCCAGTTAGTTCTGCACAGGGGTGGACTGACAACTCATGGGGCCCCCAGGCAATAGGGGATCATGGGGCCTCTGTGTCCTCGTCCACACTCAAACCACACTCAAAAAAGCTTATAAAAAGTACCAGGGGCATCTCATGGGGCCCCCTACTGACCCCAGGCCCTCGGGCAGTGCCCGAGTGCACAAATGGTCAGTTCGCCCCTGGTTCTGCACTCCTGTGACCCATTTTCAACCAACAGCAGGTTGATGCCCGCTGTCGGTTCATGTCACAGTGCTGGCCCAGGCTCTGAAAAGATCCCGACCGCATGGTCAACATCCACCCAGAACCCTAAACCTAAGTACCTGGCTCCGCCCCTTAGCAATTTGCAGAGAGCCTGAGCCTGCGCATTCCACAGCCCAACGCTGTCTCCAGCGAGTGCTGGAGGGAAGAGCGGAGGGGGAGACTGAGCGATCAGCGGTCTTTGATCGCTCAGCTCACAGTGCAGATTCGGTGGGGGACAGAATAATTTTTTTTCCTCCAGTCCATACTTCTCTTTCAAGTTTAAGCAGAAGACAAAAATAATTTTCCCCCCATATGGTCGGTATCCACCCAGAACCCTGGACCAGCAGCTGGCTCATCCTCTCAGTGAACTGCCGAGAGCCTGAGCCAGCCCCTCCTGCCCCCTCCACAGCACAGCACTCTCTCCAGCAAGTGCTGTAGGGCAGAGCTGAGGGGGAGAACTGAGCAATCAGCGGTCTTTGATCGCTCAGCTCACAGTGCATATTCAGTGGGGGATAGAATCATTTTTTTTTCTCTAGACCATATTTCTCTTTCAAGTTCAAGCAGAAGACAAAAATAATTTTCCCCCACATATGGTTGGGATCCACCCAGAACCCTGGACCAGCGCCTGACTCAACCTCTCAGCAAACTGCCGAGAGCCTGAGCCAGCCCCTTCCACCCCCTCCACAACCCAGCACTGTCTCCAGTGAGTGCTGGAGGGCAGAGCGGAGGGGGAGAACTGAGCAATCAGTGGTCTTTGATAGCTCAATTTTCTGTGCAGAGCCAATGCTGCACCCACCTAGGGGAGTATAAATGTTTTTTTTTTTCTTCAGCCCATACTGAAGAAAGTTCAACCAGAAGACCAAAATAAATTATAAACCTTCTGCCCTCAAAGCATTAAACCCAACATAGCTTACTTTCTCTTTGTAGTAATAGACAAACTAAATCCTCCTATCCTTTACATCCATAGAAGCTGTCATTTTGGCTTCTATTTGATCTGCATCAGCTATACTACTGTATGTGTAATCAGCGATGACACCAAGATGTGATAACCCCTTTTTTATAGTGGAAAACATACTGTATATGGTACAGCAAAAGATGAGAGTTCTACTCCTATCCAAATGGGCGAAGATTTACAAAAAGAGATATAAATGGTTCTTATATAAAGATTCTTTTATCTCTATAATCTTCTCCAAAGCATTTTGATGATAAGTATATCCTCATCACCAGGATTTTATAATAGGGTGTATGGCCTCATGTACATGAATGCTGATGATCATAATCCGTGAATGGGCCATATGTTTATCCTGAGCTGCTAGGTGCTGAGTGGTGACAGAGTGTCTCACCTACATGCCTATCAATTTGGGCTTTGTCTGTGCAGCTGCTGTGTCCCCATAGGCTTGAATGGGCTTCCTGCATAAACACAGCCCATTCATGCACTCAGTAAAAGTGAAAGGTGCCATCATTACTAGAGTGAAAACTTCTGCATTATTGGAGACTCAGTGGGTGGATTTATGAAGTAACCAATCAGGTTCTAACTTCAGCTTGTTCATTTACGTTTGTACAATAAAACCTAGAAGTTTGTTACTGTGCACAGCTTGTGGGGAAGTGCAGCGTGGTGCGACGGCAGTAAAGACAGAAAGTCCAGTTGCAATAGACCTTGGAACTTGTTTGAAGAGAATGCTAAACTACAAACACTCCAGCAGGAGAGCGCCACTTGGGAAAAACTCAGCTCAAAGGCAGAGATGCAGTGGAGAGGGATGCACCGACAGCGTCTGTTTCAGAGGGTGAGGTGCCATCTACAGTCGAGGAAACTGAATGCACCTGCCTACAAGCTGCACCAGATTTTGTGTGCACCAATTTTACTAAATCTCCCCCAATGTGACTCATTGTAGCTCATGAGAACCCAGGCAAAAACCTTATATTGACTGCTATAATAAGAAGTGATATTTTTCTCAGTGAAATTAACATTTTAGACTAAAAAAAATAATTAACAATTTTTGTACCATTAGCCAGGTAAATTCAACTGACCCCACTGTTTGTATCAATAGAAGATGGCTTCATATTATTCTCACTGATTGATTCTCACAAACCCTATGCAGGAGAAAATAAATTAAGCAAGCATTAGGCAGACATGGGTTACTCGCTAACACTATATCCAGTACATGCTGCCCCTGCAATGACCCATTGTACTATACAGCCTGTAAACAGTGTTTATAGCCTCCATTGCCCAGTACTAGTGGTGGGCCTATTGGACATTTTGAGCACATGTGGGTAGGGTCTGTCTAAGGCTAGTATCATTAATAACTGAAACAGTCTCCACCCACTTGTCCACAGTTTTTGGACACAGCCTAGAGCTAGTATTGGGATCATCATCACTGGACGCTGTAACCATTGCAGACCGGCTACTCTGTGCTTCAGGGACAATGTAGGGGCAGCAAGTAATGGGGTTATTTTTAGCAGAACAATTCATGTCTGAAAGATGTTTAGGGTTTTTTTGCAAAATATATAGGAGTCAATTCAGTAAAGGTTACCACATGCGATAACACTGTCACGTGATTCATTTGCATAAATTATCGCATGCAGTAACAAAATGTCTAATTTACAAAAAAAAAAAAAAAGATTTTGCGGTATTTAATGCAAAATTAAAAATGTGTCGGTAAATACCCCAAAAAAAACATGCGGTAAGCTGTTAGCTCCAATTCACAAACACAACAGAAAGTAAAAAAAGATGCAATATTTATCACCAGGGTTTTGCTGGTGGTATCACATACAGTATTTATTCAGATGCAGTGAGGGGGTCCCCCCCAACTCCTAGGGAATTTTTTTTTTTTAAACGGCGTGGGGTCCCCCCCAGATCTATACCAGACTCAAAATCACTTAGGATTGTGAGGTTACCTGCACGCCTTTTGTTTCTCTTTTTTATTGTGATGTGGGTTTTCCCCAAAATCCATACAGACCTATGCGCCATTTTTTTTTAAATGTTGGTGTGGGTCTTCCTTAAAATCCATACCAGACCCAAAGGGCCTCTTATGGATGGGCATGTGAGCCCCACATAGTTTTCTTCATCGTTTGTAATTGCTGGCATGTTTTGTTTTCATTCAGCTGTCAATGGGACACCCGCTGACAGCTGATGAGTCATACATTGTGAAGGACACCGCGGCTGGCCTCCTTAACAACCAGTTACCATGCGATTAATTACCGCATGATAATATATGGCAATTACCGCAATACGGATATTTTACTGCACGAGTTATTTCCCACAAAATTCTTAGTGAATTGCACATTTGCAAAAAATTTACTGCATGAGTTATTTTACCGCATTTTTTCAGTCGTTATTTAACTCTTAGTGAATTGACCCCATTGGTACTTTTTAACCCGCCTCTCGCCCACCATATAAGGAAATGACGGACAGGCGGCGGTTCTCACACTGGATCACCGATCAGCAGAAAGAGCCGATGACGTCTCTGTCATGTGATCAGCTGTGTCCAATTACAGCTGATCGCATGTAAATAAGAAAATGCCGGTTATCGGCATTCCTCTCCTCACGAGCTGTCACTGACAGCGTGTGAGGAGAGAAGAGCCGGTAATCGGCATTCCCCAGAGGGGACATGTACACTGATCATCAGGGCACTGATGAGCAGTGCCCTGATGATCAGTGTAGCCCCATCAGTGCCACTTGTCAGTGTCCATCAATGCCACATATCAGTGCTTACCAATGCACATCAATGCCACATATCAGTGCCCATCTGAGCTGCCTTTCAGTCCCATTTATCAGGGCCAGTCAGTGCTGCCTGTCAGTGCTGCCAATCAGTGCCACCAATCAGTGCCAGTCAGTGCCACCTATCAGTGAGCATCAGTACTGCCTATCAGTGAGCTTCAGTACCGCCTATCAGTGCCAGTCAGTACCTCCTATCAGTGCCAGTCAGTACCACCTATCAGTGCCAGTCAGTGCAGTGCAAGTCAGTGCTGCCTATCAGTGCCACATATCAATGCCATATATGAGTGCTACCTTTCAGTGCCCATCAATGATGCCTATCAGTGCCAGCTACCAGTGCCTCCTCATCAGTTCCAATGAGTGCCCCCTATCAGTGCCCATCATTACAGCCTCATTAGCGCACATCAGTGAAGGAGAAAAATCACTTATTTAAAATATTTTATAACAGAAACTAAGAAACCTTTTTGATTCAACATTTTCAGTTGTTTTTGGTTTGTTTAGCAAAAAATAAAAAACCCAGAGGTGATTAAATACCACCAAAAAAAGCTCTATCTGTCTCAAAAAAATGATACAAATGTCATATGAGTACAATGTTGCATGACTGCGCAATTGTCATGCAAAGCGTGACAGTGCTGAAAGCTGAAAATTGGCCTGGGCAGGAAGGGGGTAAAAGTGCCCGGTAGGCTAGTGATTAAGGGGTTAACTTGCCTTATTTATAAATGATAAAAAGTAACTATTGTAAAGTAACTAGATTGATCCATGTTAAGAAACAAAGAAAGCAGATGGTGTTCTATTAAGAACATTAAAAAGATTTTCCATTGTTTCAATGCTGGTTTACATAACAGTTGTCTTGCTAAAAATAGAAAGATGACTAACCAAGCAACGCAAATCACTTGTATGTGGTTAATTTATCGACACCGCTGGCAGCCATTCTGTTAAGCAACAGTACAAAATAAAAGGCACAGACTGCGTAGGCTGAATCCATTTCCAGTATAATGTGTATAATGTTACCTTTACACTGACATGTCACCTGTATGTCATAGTTTCCAGTCTAAAGCTGATGTCAGACAGCCAATGTCACATTCAGTGCTTCTTGAATAAAAGGCTGGATGTCAGCAAATTAAAGCTGACCTCCAGGTATTGATGTTATTGCATAGTTACATTGGTCCAGGTTGGATGCCATTCCTATGGAACTGCTGTAGAAGCAGAGAATCACTGCAGTAGTAAT